ACATATATATATATATATATATACGCAAACAAGATTATAAAACGAACGGAAGTCACATTATTGAATTGCATTCAAATGAAATTCGTTGAAGAATGAATATCTGTAAACTGTTCTGAAAAGTGCTGTTTTCGTTTATCAGTGAAATTTATCATTAGAGAACGTTATTAATTCAGACAGTAAAAACGAAAATATTATAAACATAAATATAAATACAAACACTCACTATTTCTTATGCACATTCGATTTTATTGTTGCTACTTGTGTAACTTTTATTTTTACCATTATTATTATCACAACTGATATTGATACTACTAGCAGTGTTACTATTATTAACCTCAGACAGATGAGGATTTGAAATCGGCATTCCTTGCATCCATCATAAAATAGATGCTTAAGAAGACGCCATGGGAGCTTAAACTCCTTAATAATATGTTATATTACACGTGCACTTAAACAAAATATTATGCCTAATTAGATCTTATCTGAGGATTCTGATTGTTATCATTCTTATCACTATCATTATCATTCTTACTCTCATCTTTGTTGTCATTATTCTTATTATTATTAATCACTCTCTTACAAACTAATTCTTCCATCAGTTTCAAAACTTCTGAAAAAATCGAACGGAACGGCTATGCAGTCCGATTATGATACAATAACTATAAGCACGTTGTTATTGTTACACACCGTATCAATCGTGATTCTATCAATAAAATTGAAATGACTCAATATGTAGAGGCAATATTAAACGAAATTATTCTGGTAGGCACAAAAAAATCCAAAATTTTGATTAATTTTGCAATCCTATCAGAAGGATCTAGGCAATCGCAAACAGATACATGCGGTAAAACGGATCGCCTGAAAAAAAGGTCGAAGGTCGGGTTGGAACCGTGTTAAATGTATTGCTGTATGTTAACCGTGTATTGCTACGTATAAAAGTATCCGTGGTCTAAGCATGCGCGTCAGTTTGAGGCTGAAACCAAGCATCAGCTTGGGTTGTCGATCCAGGCTAGGCCTACGCTGAGCCTAATCCACTTCTAACTTTGGAGTTTTCCATACTTTTACGCTAGCTCAGTAAAACGATTAGACTGTCGAATAATACCGCAGATTGTGCAGTAATTATCAATAACTTATCACGCCTTATCATTATACTACAATATAATCAAATTCTTCGCAAACACTTCCTCCTGAACTCAATACAGTAATACATAGTAAGCATAATAGCGCATAGATTTGTGACTGAACCTGAACCGTAAAGCACCCTCCGAGGACTCACTCTATCGGATCGAAGAACTACGTATAGAGAGGGGAGAACAGTAGGAGCATCAGCATCCGTATTATCAGCAAAAAACAAGTACAACGATCCGATCTTTCAAACAGTGATCTAGCAAAAAATCTTCTACACGAAAAAATAAATAAACATCTCCGGCTCATTCATTCACATACATGCATAAATATTATTCTATCAACGATGAAGCATCATATCATACAGTGCGTCATCTGCTCATACATACACCATAAACTGTACTGTACGAAATGTCATATGCATAGTAGATGACAGTGTTACATTATGAGCAAACAAGTACCCATGGACGTGTCATAATACGTTCGTTTAAGGCAAGAGGTGTGCAATATTGACGTAAGGAAGAGCATATGTGAAGTAAAGCATAATCAGATGTTTTTGTATAACAACTGAAATTTTAAAAACTGAATTACTGAGGAAGTAGAGGAGATGAGATCCAAATGATGTTAGGTACAGAATAAAATAGGTAAAAAATAGAATGGAACTACTTCTTCCTCCTTTTCCTATAATCGTCAGATTTTTGAAAGACTGAATGGTATTGCAAAGCGCAGATCACTCACCCTACCACTGATTAATTAATTCTTTAATTAGCAATTTCAACAACTCAAATAATTCTCTTCCTGATAAACCAGAGTTTTTGCTCTTATTAGTATTACTGCTGCCGCAATTGCTGAAGTTTTCACAGTTCCCACCCATTATTATATAACAGTTACTTAATTTTTCGTATTAATTTCAACTTAATCTTTATTCTCTCCTTCGCACTTACACACAACATATATGTTCATATGAAACTTCTTCTTGTATTCCTACCCTTCCTATTCATTTAAATGATTAAACAAACTATCGATCAATCAATCAATCGGTCAGTCAAAACAATCTCGACTTTTCCTTACGTCCGTTCGTCTCGAATCATCATTTTCGACTGTCGTACATCCTCCTTCTGTTCTCAAACGCAACAAACTCATTTTCAGTAACATTTGCAATCAAAACAATTTCTGGACAAAAAGATATTGATAATAATAATGATAACCACAAGAATAGTAACAATAATGAATATAATAGCAATAATATTACAAACGAATTGTAGTAAAAATACACAATATACCTAATTCCATCCTTCATTCTTCTTTATTTCTTATTATACAACTACCTGTGCTATTAGTATTAACAAACGAATACATCAACCTACACCATACGTACTCTTATTTATTGTTTACTATGCATTTATTTATTTTACTTTCATACCATCTTTCTAAAGTTTTGCCTAGATCTTTCCCTATTTCTTTACATCTTTCCTCGTTCTAGTCGCTCCATAAGAACCAAACAACTTCGTTCCTTAAGAACCAATAGGTAACCTTAAGAAACTTTCTTCTCTTCTTTGTATATTTCTTCTTCTACTTATGTATCATTCATAAACTTTCTTCTCTACAATCCTAATTACAATAATAATAATATGATGCCATTAATGCTATAACAACTTCCCTCTACAAATAACACCAACTCAACTATAACATCTATCATTCTACCAATCTTTCTTAACAATTATCAAATGCTGTCCCATTTATTTCTCCTTCATTCTAGCTGCACTTCAATTACAATCACCTCCTTCTGCCTGTATTCTCGAATGTATTTCTATCCTAAACGAGAGCAAAAGCAAAGAACATATTTCTTAGCATGGCATATTTATTTATTCATCTATCCATCCATTTACAATACTATAGTCAACGAAAATTTGCGATGCGTTGTACGTACGTATACAGATAGGTACATTGTATTTGTAATGCAATACCGCACATAACGGCTTCATATCGCCCGCTCGTGTGAACTTAAGCTATAATCATAAACTTTTAGTGTCTTTCTTAGTTAGTGTCTTGACTTACTTTATTCAAGCAAATATCATTATTTGCTTATTGGTTGATTAATTATTGTAACTGAAAGGATAACAATTACTGGGGACAATAATGGTCCTTGGTTCTTATGGTGCCTAATTATGAGGTGCTACTTTAGATCAAATTAGTAATAAGTAATCAATTATGTTTATGGTAATAAGCAGTAACAATAATACCAATCATAATAATTATTAGTATCATTATTCCTACTAGAAGTGATACTGTTCGCAATTATTGACAAAAAATTACCGTTTTTATGTCGTAATTGAAACAAGCAAGTTCTTTCTTTCTAATAAGGAAAGAACCTATCTGTATGCAAGCGAATATTAAACCTTCAATAGCAGTAAGACTAATAAAGATGAATTAAACTGAAAGTGGTAATAATAGTGGATAAGATGAGGATACATGTTGACAATACGTATAAACATAGTCATCACGTCATATGGTCAATATATCATCAACCTCTAAGTTGACCGAGAAATGAAACTGTGTCTACGATAAGTTATATCCCATCTCGATTGAATCAATTAATGCAACAATTATTCTATCTATCAATAATATAGTTTCATCAAATAATATTAATAACATGCGCATAACTCTGTGTAAAATTATGAAATGTTTTTGCTGATAAACAATATAATTATTATTCACATACATACTGTATGGTTGCAAAATGAAAACAATGAAAAACAATTAGTGAATGTATGACTGAATGCATTCATTCATTTTTGATATTTGCACTGCGTCTTCGAAACCGTTCATTTTAAGCGTTTAAAAATTTCTGTTAAACGAAAACCATATTAGATGGATGGAAGATTTTGCTCGAAAAACCTACTAAGTGGCGTCATCTTCACCGTTAGTGTAAAAGTGTCGACAAGTTCGAAGAATTTAGATTGGCTCGAACGCATGTTCAGGCTAAGCCTTATGCTAACGCTTAGGCTTAAACTTACGTTTGGCGTTGGTCTTATGCTGACATTAACACTTACTCGTTAGTGTTCGGTTTTGAATTCATGCATTCAACAAAAATATTCAACACTGTTCCACCTGAAGTGTGGAAATTTTTCTAGGAAACCAAAACGACTGGTCGGCAAACGAACAGTATTGGCGTGCTGAACTGAAAAGAATTAGAAGTGGCGAGGAAAGTATTAATCATTGTTTATATGTACATATGCTAACTACTATAGTGAATAAATGCTTGCTTGGACTTACGAATCAAAATTAACAGAATGGAAAAAAATGAATGAATAAACGATTCCGTTTCAATTGATCATTCCATTATGGTCCCAACAGTCAAACGAATAATGCTCAGTTTATGGAGAATGAATTCTACATTCATGTCAACACATATACGTGTTAATCATCTACAACAACAATAATAATACTGATGATTAACTGTATTACTAATAAGAATTAAGATACGTAAGTGATAAAGTAATCTTACTCTTAACTGTCGATTTGTGAAGATGTTAAATTCAAAAGCTTCACAAATATCTATGCATAAAAGTTTACCTCAAATACTACGTTCACAACTGAAACGCATTATCCCGTGTGATCGGTTAATGCATTAACAACACTAACCACTTTTGTACTACTTTTGTACCAATATTCTAAGCTACCATCATATGCACGAAATATATATACAAACGCATAATATTGTATAGATTTATAAGCAGTTATATGCAGTCATTTTTAAATAAACAATTCGCTGCGTTCTGTTCGTTTATTTATTTATTTGTCAATTCATTTTTTTGTTCCTATTACGCTGTTAGCACTGAATCATTCTTTTTTAAAATTCATCCTGTTGATTTTGTTTCGTTTAAAATTTAAGCTCTCTCGTTAGATAACAATAAGCTTCCAACTAAACTTACGAACAAGTAAATAAACAGATTGGTGAATAAATAAACAAACAAACAAGGAAAGAAACAGATAAACTTTTGAAACGTTTATTTATTTATTCATTCATTTATACAGTTCTTTTTTTGTAACATCCCATTGACCCAACTAAAAAATGGAGTTTCGCAATTTGCAGCTTCTTTGGGCAGCTTGCTGATGAAGAACTCTTAACACTAAGTTCGGTTATATACATTCGTATGCACCATTCACTAATATTATATGATATTTATCCTACAACCACATAAAAATAAACAAATATATAAAATGCACATTAACAATGTTCATTATTTGTATTTATGAGATCCTCTTTGTTTCTTCCATTGACTGCTTTCTGATACACAGCATATGTTTACCAGATTTGCAATTTTCATCGATCCACATTCAACCATCGTTGTCATAATCTGCAAGCTCATCCAAATGTATACAGCCACTCACCTTTTTTTTCTTTGAAACAGTTGTAAGTAATGATTTTCCTGAAAGAAGAAGTAAGCAAGAAAAACCCCAGTAGTCCATTATTCGGACTAAACGTGAATACTCATTATGTACTAGTGAGTTAAGCTCGAACCTTCGAAGTCTGAAACTTAATCTCACCCCTGACTAACATTTCGACCTAAATATTACGTTTGATGTATCTAAATATTACACTTAACAGTTCTTTGTTTTCATTCTCTTACCAATGCATAAGTAAGTGCCCACACCATTCATCACCACAACTAGTTCTTATGAGCCACAATCATTGATTCAATTTTATGCGCCCGCTCAACCATGCAGACGAACCCAAAATCATTTCATTTCCCAAAACGAAAAACATTCTTCCCGGGAAAATCTTTTTATGTTACTCTGTTTTCTTTATGACTATTCAATTCCTCTTTCTATTGCAATAGTTGGTTCAACGATTTCTTACGTTACTAACTCAGAAAATAAAAGATTCGCTTAAAAACATTAAGAATCAGCCAAGTATTCTGAATTGCTACATAACATCTGCTCAACAAATCAACAATAACTGACTCATTGCACTCCTCTTAAATTCAACCAATAAAGAGCACTGAAACATTATGTAAACGAATGATTCAGTTAGGTTCGTCACTTCCGTTCTCATCAAACATACAAAAAACATTTATATTCGATCAAAGAAGAACAATAATCAGTTGTAAACCATTACTCAATGGTTGTCGCTGTTCAGAACTGAATTCATCCATAGACTGCTTTTGCAGTTGTTGTTGTTGTTGTTGCGGCTGTTGAGCATGTGAATGATGTTGTTTTGAAGTTGAAGAAGCTAGTGAAGTATTTACCATGGTCGATTCTTTATGAAAATAATGCTTTGATCTCTTCTCCATATAGCAGTACCTAATACAATATGTTTTAAGTGTTCATGGATATATAAAATTCCGGAATCTAATTCGAATGAATGATCAATTAGGCTGAAAAAAATTGCAAAAAACGTCTTGAAATAATACAAAAAACAAAAATTAGAATTATAAAATTTTTAGATACCTGAAATAAATAGTTGCACCAATTGTGAATAGTAGACAAACGAGTAGCAGGACCAAGAAGAACATTATGTAGCTGAATAAAAAATTCATATCAATGAAACTGTCTTCAACATAATCGCTAGCATCGCTAGAACTTGAAACTCGATTACCAGATCCTGTGTTACTTAAATGTGCTTTAGAAGCCACAGCAGTGGCCAAAATACGACGTCGTTTCGTAGTAGTTACTCGAACTGGTATTGTCTACAAATTATGAATCGTTTTTTTTTGTAGTGTTCTTTGATGTTTGTACAGATAACAATTCCGACACTTTTGACATAAAGTAATGAACTGGTGGTGAAACACCACTGAACACTATGGCATTGAATGCTACGGAAAAGAATCGACAACCAAATCGACACCGATAAATGCAACCAGACTACATCCGGTTATGAAACTAATTTTGACTAAATCAAGCCATCGCACCAAATAGTGTCTTCCTGATGATGACGTTAAAAGCCGAAACGCTGACAAACAAATAAATAAAACCTGCTGGCTATCGCAACCAATTATGAATCGTTTATTCTATCCAAATCGGATCGTATTTAGGAAAGCAAATTATTGATTAAGCAATAAATTGATTCAGAACTTTTCACATCAGTCGAAAGAAAGTTCTTTCGCTTGATCGACTCTACGACAGATTTTGTCGGGAGGAAGGAAAAAAGTGATTATCATAATGATATTAATATGCTTTACCAGTGGTAGAAACGTTGTTGTCTTAGTGACAGCACTGGCTTCCGATAACTGCTCATGAGATTCAGCTGATTTTGTCGAATGAGTTGCGATATCTTTTATTTGAGTTGTTGATGATGCTGTTTTCTCGTTGTTTGTCTCATTGTGATGTTGATGTTTTTTTGATGAAAATGGGCAAATTCTTGTAAACTCTTTCGCGCCTGGATCGAAATTTAGCAACTTCACAAGACCACCACCAACAGGCTTTTTCAGCGAGCAATACACATTATCCAAATCAAGCACCTGTACAAATTTAACTCTGATTGTAACCACGACAAATGAATAATTCATAACGAAATAAATAGAAACCACAGCAATCATTTCAATAGTAATAATAATAACTATAACAAGAATAATGATAGGAATAATCGTGATAGCAATAATGGTTTCTTCAGAAAAAAAAAATCCATTCGTTCACACCTTTTGTTTATTGTTCATGCTGCTGCTGCGATCATGAGCACTTTCTGCTCGATAAGCATCATTACCAAATAACCATTTTTGCAAAGCAGATGGATGTGTGCAATCGCATTTGAATTTATTCGTTGTACCACCAAATTTCAAATTCGCAATGGAATCGAAACGCTTCAACGCTTGTTCTGAGAATTCCGTTAGCTCATTATCGCTCAAAAATAATTTCTCCAAATCCGCAACTGCATCCAATTGTGTGTACGGAAATGTCTGAATGTGATTCGACGATAGATCCAATTGACGTAAACGAGGGAAACCATCCAAAAAGTTCTTGCCCAGTGAACGTAGATTACAATTTGTTACGTTCAATATGCGCAAAAAACGTCTTGGACCAATATCGCCGGGTGACCATTGTTTCCAGTGACTGTTCAAAAAGCGTAACTCTGTGACACTCTCGGGAATTTCGCTTAAACGATCCAATCGAACGTTATTGCATTCGACAATATTTTTACCCATACGATTGACATGCGGCGCTGCACTATGCCAGCAAGTGCATCCAATCGGACAAACACTCCGACAGAAGCATGAGTGCTGATGAAAACAACATGCACACTGCTCAGCACATGAAGACTCGTATTTGCACAGCAGATCACCGTGACGGTCTGCATCCGTTAACAGCAGCAGTGTATGATTATGATGTGACAAGAGATGTGAACAATACAAATCCGTCAAATCCAATACCATCGGAGAAGTCTTTGTGGCCGCATGAACAATCCAACGAAGTGAACAAACACATTCCAGAGGATTTCCCGACAGCATTACTCGTAACCGATGCTTACGTTCATTTGCACTCACACTCGCTTCTCGTAGTTCAGTCAACGAATTATTCCTGACAAAAACAGCATATCGTCATCATTATAGTATCTTCACTATCAACAAAACTCCATCTTGCATTAAAACATTCGGTTCATTGAGGTATTCGTTGAACCAATCGAGATAATAACCATCATAATAATAATAACAACACAATGAATAAAACCATACTTTATCTAATCAACAATTAAACTTAACGCACCTTAGATCCAACATCGTTAGTTTAAGCATATTTGCAAAAGCTCCATCTTGAATATACCGTAAACGATTACTGGTTAAGTCAATACTCCATAAACTTGCTGGCAGTATATTGACTGTTCCAACTCCCGAAATAAAATCCAACTGATTTCCAGATAAATCCAACCGTCGCAATGATCTGAAGGCATCTCATATCCAATCACCTATTGACCGGTTGATTCCCTGATGCTTTCAAATACTCCAGCTTTTTTCGTTTAATTGATAATAATATTGATACAAATGAACTGATAATAAAGCGATAATTTACGTGATACTATCACTGGATGAATGTATTGTATTGATATGGTTATTTCGTAGAGTGAGATCTGTGACTGCATTCGGAATGCGTCTTAAATCAATGTTCGATAAGCGATTATTATCCAACGAAAGTATTTTCAAGTGTTCCAATGATAGTAACGTATTGGATAGGTAAGATATTGAATTATTACTCAAATCCAACTGCATCAAATTACTGCAAGTTATTATTTATATCACATATATTTGAGTGCAATGAATGTCTCTGTTATGGACTGACTATTTTCACTCCTTTAAATATCAATATAAACCACACCTCTCAAACGTTATACAATCTAGATTTCAGTGATCGAAAAAAGCAACCGGTAAGCTCGTAAAAGGTAATACTTACGTTAGCACGCTGAGCGCGTATGGTTCGATATGCAAATTATTATTGGTCAAGTCTAATGTCATCAAATTTTTTAAATCAGCGAAAATATCGCGAGGTAGATCTTCCAATGAAGCACTTCGTATTATCAGACTGTATAATTGTGTCATCCCCTTCAAATTCAATTATTATTATTGTTGATATAACCATTATCAGGTTTATTATTATTGGCGTTATTATTATCATTAGTATTATTAAATCAATCAATCATGCCTCACTGAATAAATCGGCCATGAATTGAACAATTTAAAAGACTGGCGAGAATGAAACAAACCTTAAATAAGTCATTCGGAAGTGATTCAATCTGACAACGATCAATTTCGAGTCGATCCAAATTTTTTAAGTGTCTAAATAAATGAACGGATGGCTGTGATACGGTTCGAGAGCCATGCGGACAACGAATTGTTAACGTTCTGATTGGATCGAGTGCTCTGATAGTCTCCAAGTATGCCGACGAATTCAACTGATGGGCAAAAGTATATTATTAATAGCGATGATAAGATGACGGTAACAATAATAATAAAACAACAGTAAGCATAAGAATAATGACTAACATGTTCCCATTTACAGATTAAATGCATCGACTTAGTATTATCCACTGGATCTGTGTAGCATTGACACCGACTGGGACACAGGAAATACTGTGAATTCGTATTGGAATCGCTGAATGCAGCCGCAGTAGTGAAATTTATTGAAGGACCGTATTTTATTAACAGAACTGCACTTATCAATAATGAAATAACAAAGAAGAATATTTTCGTTAATTGTTGGATAACTGATGATGAGCATAATGAAGAGGAATCGAAGCGACAACAGCAGTCCGTAGCACGATTGCGTTCGCGCGAATAATGATCGTGATAATGATTACTGTTTCTAATTTCATTTTTGTTATTAAGATCATTATTAGTACGCTTATTAAAATTGTTATTATTGCGATAGTAATGAAATTGATTTTTTTGTTGTTGACTTTGTTGGACTACAAATAAATACGATATGAACTGCACAATTGAATTCTTGTAGATTTGAGAAATTTTTTGATTCTTTTCATACTCTTCTGCTGCAATGATTTCAGGATTCAACCAAATCCATCCTAATTTTCTTTGCATTTCCATATGTAGACGGTTGCAAAGTGGTTGCCCTCCTTGCCCCTCTTCTTCTTCTTCTTCTTCCCATTTTCGACGATTATTCGTAATCGGTTCAAACATGGATCAATATTTACTTTATGTATATATGTATTTTATCTTGCTACTACCTGAAATACATTGAGCATGACCAATATTATTACTATTACTACTTTTATTATTATTTATTATTATTATTATTATTATTATTATTATTATTATTATTATCATCACCATCGTATGGCCATTATGATTATTATCATCAGCAT